TTAAAAAGAATGAATTGATGAAAATGCCCTTAGAGGCGAGATTGTTGACTTTCGTTGACCGTCATTCCACAACACGTATAAGCTACTATTTTTATCATATTTGTGTAGTACTCATTGCTACGAACGCGTGGGTGTAAGTGAAATCGAAATCTGAGTTACGATTAAGATTTTACGAAATTAGAAAACTTGAAATTGTTTTAGTAAATTTGAATTTTAGATATTTTATTATTTTCTGGTGTGATTTTTGTGGCCCATGGGGCCCACACGTGACTAACTTCTCTCTATTGCCACGTATCACTTTTCCCCAACTCTCTCGAAACACTTTCGATGTCTTTTCCCTCACTCTCCCATAAAACTCTCTCTGACTCCCTTATCTCTCCTTCTATGAAACCCAGCAACATCGGGAACCACACAACCACCTGACCACCTATGTCACAAACCTCGAGCCCTGACATGGTAACTTTCTTTCTCCTCTCTTTCTCTCTGTGTGTACATAGTGGCACTACCACTATTCAAGACTTTCTCTGGCAATTTCTCATTGTTCTCGACAAAGGTAAACCTCAAACCCCCCCTCCAAGAACTTCTTAGATCTTGTTTTGGAGTACGATTAGGGTAATTTTGAGAGTTTTTGGTGATGTTTGAATGTAGAATCAACTTGGGGAAATTTCTCCAGATTTTTTGACGGGACTCGAGATTTTTGCAGGTCATTTTCAACCAACTCCAGCCACGACTTATTCCAACTTAGGTATGTACTTGTTCCTTACGTCCTTAGCTTCATTTTGGCTTTTGAATTGTAGAAAATGGTTGAGGTTTCGACCCCTATCAGAGCCGTTGAAAATTTCCAGCCAAAAAGCCAAATCCGACTTTCTTCTTCATTAGGTTCGGTGGGTGCAACCCGTGAACCCAAAACAGATTGACCCAACCCAATTAGCCTAAACCCAGATTCGCAAACCGACCCGAACCAAATCCCAAGACCCATTTATGAAACCGGATCTGGAATATTCCTTGCATTGATTTCACATATTTTTATCAAGACCTCTTTTGGGCTAATTTCGATGCCCTGAGTCTGTTTTTGACATCCGTTTAGTGAAGTTCCAAAGTTTTAACGTAGTTGACTGCCTTGGCAGCTTGGTTAGCTTTTTGGCTGACCTTTGACTTGTCAATACCCTTTCTTAATGAATTTTGACGCCCTGATTCTAAATTCCTATTCATTTTTTTCAAATTCAAACAGTTTGAATTGAGTTTTATTAATGGACCTCAATATCATGCTTAGGTGCGATTATTATCGGAAACTCCAGCTTTCCTAGCTCGAACGGATGTGATCTTGCAAGTATTTGTGAGTGGGTCTTTTCTTTTATATATATATGTATGTGTGTGTGTGTGTGTGTGTGTGTGTGTGTGTGTATTAATGAATTTCCTACGTGATGCCATAATTAAATTAATGTTTACATAAAAATGTCGTAATGATGAGAATCATAAGATCATTATAAATCCAAAGGGATGCCTTAATTATATTTATGGTCATGAATAGTATTATGTTGAGTAGAATTATCCATTTTTCTGTTGCATGATTATATTTACGTTATCTGCTCATCATGTGCTACACTAGTGTTAGTACTCGCCCGGGGCAAGCCAGTCTTCACGTGTATGTTCACATCGCACCGTATGCTCACTTTGGATCCATTGTAGGTGCTAGTCATGTCCTAGATTGCTATAGGCAATTAGGGCTCATATGTGATATGCATAGTGCTAATCTTTACGTGATTGTAGTACTAGAGCGTAAATAATTATTACACCTAGTCTTGTTCGCGTCAGAATATCTCTGCATAAACTTGTGTGTCAGCATATGTTAATGAGCACTCGATATGATATGTTTGTTTATGCAATATATTGTAATTACTAGATGTTGTATGTTTATATGCAAAAATATTGGGAATTATTGCATGTTTTCAAGATATATTGTTTATGGTAAGTGTTTTCTTACTATATGTAATATATTATGTTTGGAAACTATACTTGCTTTACAGCAAGGGGTTATTACGTTTTCGAAAAAGTTTTATAAAGTTTGATTTTTAGGCCCACTCATCCTTGTTTTTCGCCCCTCCAGGTTTTAGTGGCAGCACTTTTGTGTTGACGAGAACTCTTGGCAAATGTTGGTATAGGAGATTACAGTACTTTACTTATACTCTGACATTATATGTGAAATGGGTTCAATCCCACTCACATGCGCACTCTTGCATTTAGTCACTTTTAGGTTTAAATTTATTCATATTTTCCACATCACTACACTCTATGGCTTCGTCACCTTTCTAGTGTTGACCAGCACAACTTGATTCGGAGTCCAAGTGGACATTCCAGGTTAGGGTGTGTTAGAACACATGTATTAAGAATTGTTGTTGTCATTATTAGTATAAATCGACTGTTTGCAGAACTAAATTGTAAAAAGCTTGTTCAGTAATATCTTGATTTGTTTTTCTCTAATATTGAACCTGTTAGGGCACAATAACAAAATTGTGCTAACATGGCTTGGAAAAGCCATCTGACATGTCGTCAGAACAAAGGCACAAAATAGCTCTTATTTGTGCTAAGTCTTTGAGTCCAGAATGCTATATTGTGCCCTATGACCAAAGGGCACGTCCATACAGAGCATAAATAATATTTAAGTTGTTGCACTATTGCTATTATTATAAGACACCTATATTGGTGTCCTTAAGCCTCATAGGGCACATATATATATTTTTGTGTGCAGTGGCAATTTTTCTTGTAGTGACATCTAAACACGAGTCGTTAGATTTATTAGATTAAAAGATCCAACGGCTCTTATTTACATGTGTAACTTAAATTTACACTTTTGATGTTCACTAGAGAAAGCCTCAAGAACCACAAAAACCATTGGGCTCGGTTGCTTGAGGTCCAGTCCACTTAAATAGTAATATATGGTTTGGTTCCTTTAGCATTCGAGGAAGAAGAGTTTTTGAGTAGGATTTTGTCCCTTCAGATCCTAGGTATGTTGTTACTACCTACTTGAAGGATTGGTTTTAGGCTAATGGGTGTCCTTGATCCTCCTCGATCTCGTGCCTTATATTCTTTAGAACATCCTCCAAAGGGCTTAGGTAAAACGTAATGTTGATAGGTCTTATAAAGGGCTAATTTTATTAACGATGGTGGGGTCTTCAGAAATTCTTCATAGCAAGAGGTTGCGGGTTTTTGTGACAGCCTTTGTTGAGGTGAGATTCTAATTGCTAAAATTTGAGGTATGTTTTGCAACTTGTGCAAAATACGGGATATAAGAATATTTTGGTTGAATCTAATTCTGCCTTTGATGTGGACTTGATTTTAAATGCCAAAGTTGATATTCAACTTTTGGGGAGTTTGATTACAAATTATCGTGATTTTATGCACCATAATTGATCTTTTGAAATTTGGCATACTATTTATCGGAAAATGAATTTTTTTTATTGATGAACTGGCTCATTTGGGTTTAGATCTAGTCTTTTTTTAGCAAACTCCTCCATCTTGTCAATGTCTTTTGGTTACTAATATAGTTGAGATCATTTGGCCTTGAGATAGTTTGATATAGTTTTTAAAAACTTCATTCTAATCTTTGGCAAAGATGACTTTTAGACTAAAACCATGAGTAAGATCAAAATATAATTTTAGTCCCTTGATACATTAATAACCTCATTTGTTAATTGCATTTTGATTTTTTAATTATTTATCTTTTTCTTCCCATTTTAATGTATTAATTTTATTTCATTATAATTTTAATTTTAATTTCATTTATAATAATATATATTGTTGTAAACATTTAGATAAACTAATTTTTGTTATACAATATATTTCAATGTACTTTGTCTTCTTCATTTAGATACATTAAATTTATTATAATACATTTCGGTGCATACATTTAGGTATACACATTTTGATACAAATATTTAGGTACAGTTAATTCAATATAATATATTTTGGTACTAACATTTCGATGCAATATTTCAGTACATACATTTAGGTACATTAATTTAATATAATAAATTTCAGTGCATATATTTCAGTACATACATTTCGGTACTAACATTTAAATACATTAGTTCAATATAATACATTTCGGTACATACATTTGATACTAACATTTAGGTACATTAATTGAGTCTTTCAAGTTTGAAGAATGTTAAATAAAATTAATAAATTAAAAAAAAACTTTTTTTTTGGTCAAAAAATAAATTAAAATTTGTATATTAATAAATTTATATATTTAATGGGAGACATTAAATAAAATGCACATTAATTATTTTGAATTAAGGACACATCAAGGGACTATAAGTCTACAATCTATATATAATCTAACACCAGGTTTATTTCAAATTTCAATGTTCTTGAATGATTAAAGTTAAAAAATCCCTATAGTTTTTCTTTCTTTCAGGCTTTATGTCTCACTATCAACCAAAATGTTATCATTCTTTTATTGAGCGAAGATCTATTCTAACCAGGGTAAGGATTTTAGTGTCTCATATTTTATACAACTTGCCAATGGGCAAGCTATAACTAGGTTTTAAACTCGCCATTCATGAGACTTTAACTCGAGACCTCCCAGTTACAAGTGGAGCAATTGTAACACTATTCACAAGCATATCATTTAGAAAGCAAGAATAAAAAAAGGAGTCTAAACATATGTATATCTAGTAACACAAAATATACAAAAGACTAAAGCCTAATGCATAACATATACTAATATTGATTCTGCAGGTACTTTGATCACATTTAATTTCTTTTTCTTGATCACATAGTCAACACTTAACGTGTACAATTTTTTTTGGGAAGTGTTATTGGCACTTCAAAAATCTCATTTTACACTCCTCACAAGTGTATGTTCTTTCCTAATATAGAAAGTTTGGAGTGTAGAATGAGATTTTTGGAGTGCTAATAACAATTCCCTTTTTTTTTTTTTTTTTTAATACAAGAGGATACTAAGGGAAGGGGACTTGAACACATGACTCAGAGTCTCGGATGCAAAGTAAACTTTCTTAACCCACTTGATCTACAAATCTCTCGCCAACTTGTGCAAAGGGTTAATATATAAGTACAAATGCCAATGAAAGATGACATATAGTGAACTTGTTAATTAAAACCTAGAGAGGAACTGCATTTGCTTCAGTAGAGGAGTTAGGGTTTCCATGAGTTTCTCGCAAGGATGATTGTGAATTCCTTCATACGTTGTCACGACGATGCTCGTGTCTTTAGACAGCCTCTGGACCTGTTTTTTCACATTGCATGTGTGATGTGTGCAGCGATAATAGCTCCTACAATACATAATTAATTGAGTAAATGCCCTAATAGTATCATTGTGCTTAACTAGCTGGACAAAAATAAACTACCCCAACATATAAATTTTTGAATCATTCACTGCATATATATTGTCACACAGTTATATATGGAGGGTCCTATCCTATATAATACACATAACCAAATAATTACAGGAGTTTTGGATTCAAGATGCTAGCTAGACAACCTCAAAGGTTGCTAGCTAGAACATAATGTACCTATATGATTGGTCCAATTAATGGCTTCTTCTTTATGGTATAAATTAGTCTAATTTCCCTAATCAATTTAATATTGGTATTTTAAACGACTTGGGAGCTCTTTTTTGTGGGAAAAATGTTTTGTTAGAATTGTATTTTCTACTAACAATATACTTTTTTGTCAGATTCATATTTTGCTATTAAAAGTACATATAGGATTCGGATTTTGAACTTTTGAAATTTTGGATCATAAATTTCTGATGACTTCAAATGACAAATACTCATGTACTCAATTTTCTTCTGGGGTCAGGCTTAGAAATGTTTTGCTATATTAAATATTATAGACAAACCCTAGTCATGCAAACAATTTGACTAAATAACTTGATTCCCTATGTTCATTAGAGAATTCACAAGTTCTGACAAATTAAGCAGCTAAAACGATGAATATATGCATTTCATACTTCGTTTATGTCTCAGATTCCCTTGATTCACTAGCCAGCGAAGTAACCAGTATTCATTATTTTCAAAATTTTGTTTGCTAGAATAATAAAATTTGTTCCCTAGCTATATTGATACATGGTATGAACAATGTGTTCATATTTATAATATTTATAAAGAAAAAATAATGAATAAACCTGGGATATGAGCTATTCTTGACGGCTTTCTGTCCATATTTTCTCCAGCGGTAGCCATCATCAAGAATATCATCCGTACTCCGAGTATGGAACGCAAACCTAGGTCGGCTTGCCGCTGCTTTTCTCATCCTACCCCCAGCTTTCCTTTTAATACCCACCTTTTCGTCCTGATCTGCAGCTTCACTAATAATAGTCCCAGCAGAGCCACTAATATTTTTGTCCACCATAGCCATAGGCTTAAAACTATTAATCTGATCATGACTAAGCCAGCCAGCCGCCTGAGTACCACCAGAGAGAAGGCTGACCCAATCAATGTCTAGAAGATCAGGTGGGTTGGTCATCAGTGAGGAGGATGAAGAGGGTGTGAAGAGATAGGGAGGAGGAAGAGGAGGGTTTTGGGGTGGCGGGGGCAACAAGAATGGTAACGATAAGGGCGGCAATTGGGAGGTTAATGGAGGTGGATTATGCTGTTGATGATGATCCTCCATTTATAATTAATAGGAGTGATCTGATTATAATTACTGAATAATCAGAATAATGATGTGAAAGTAAGCGAGAATGTTTGATGGAGGGAAGTATATACGAAGTCCTCTCCAGCGAGGTGGTGGAAGGTGAGAAGAAGTTGGACTGACGTACACGAACAAAGTTAGAGAGAGGGAGAGAGAGAGAGAGAGAGAGAGAGAGAGAGAGAGAGAGAGAGAAGTTGTTTGCTTAGGGTTGAATTAAATGAGAGGATGGTTTTAATTGCCGTTTTTGGTATAACCCTATGTTGTTTACCCTAGCTAGGGTAAAAGCTAAGGCCAACCACATCTCAACTACTTCTGTTCAACTGCAAATTTCAAGTACAAAAGGTGACGTGCCTCAATATGCATAACGTTATCATCAATGCATGGATTTGCATGCATCTCTCTCTCTCTTTCGGATCTTCACCTACAAGATTCACGGGATAGGTATTTCTGTAATAGTTTAATATATTGAGAACTGTAGGACACATGTTCAAATAATAATGCCATAAGATTTGGGTTTAGTTTGACTAGATACTGTTTACCAACCAAGCCAAGCAAAAAGGTTTGGACCGAATTATGTGTATGTTTGCAACGCCATCCTCATCTATGTGACCCACAAGCATTGTGACAGTTTATCTCTCTATTGATTTCCTAAAGCAAATAGTTATGAGTACCTTGAAGATGTGTGTATGAAAGGAGAATGACTTATATGAAACATGTTTATCATTATGTAGTGTTTTTTGTTCAATAATTTAGTGTAATGTGCAAGATTTTCTCTACATGGCAATGTGTTACTGCTTCAGGAACCCATAGGCAAAGCCACCTTAGACCCAGGGGACGGACGCCCCCACTAAGCTTTTTTTTTTTTTTTTTTTTTTTTTGAGAAAAATGTACATGTTGCATAAAGCAAACCTACATGAGAGACATTATATTAGCATCAACTCTTTAAGTTGCTACTATCACCATTGAAAGTGCATTTTTGGCCATGAAATTTATGAGAACAATCGATTGAGAAATCGGATGAGATCAGTGGATGAATGATAATATGGTTATTTTTATAGAGAGAGATATTTGATGGTATTGTTAATGAAGTTGTCATGCAACGTTTTCAAAACATGAAAACACATCGAGGGATATTGTAATATATTGTATGAAAAACGTTATGGATATATTAAGTGTTTTGTTTAGTAAATTCTTGAGCTTTTTAATTTGTGACTTTGTTGTTTGAGAATGCCCCATCTATACAGATCTCTGAGAAAATCATGTAGCGGCGAACTCATTCCCTGTAAGTTGCTTTTACATGAAAGGAGAGATTGAGAACCACTTCCTATCAATGTTTAGGCAACACATAAGCCCTTAAGGTTACCTCACTACTCTCTTATGCCTCATTTGGTGGTTTGGATCGGATAGGACTTGTATATCGGACATAATAAGTTAGGATTGGAGTCTTATTAATTTGGTGTTTGGTACACTCAGGACTTGTTCAACCCACGGCAACTCTCCAAGCCCCACCTACCTTCCCTGAAACTCAACAATCAAATCATCGTCGTTGCAGTAAGGAGTTTGCAAAGTCCACCTGCAAATAGGTTCAGAAGAAGAGTTCAGAGTCTTATTAATTTGGTGTTTGGTACACTCAGGACTTGTTCAACCCACGGCAACTCTCCAAGCCCCACCTACCTTCCCTGAAACTCAACAATCAAATCATCGTCGTTGCAGTAAGGAGTTTGCAAAGTCCACCTGCAAATAGGTTCAGAAGAAGAGTTCAGGGTTTGAGGATGATTTGAAGGCAGATTTGACATATATGATTGGCTTGGATTGATTTGGTTAGGTTTGAGTGTTCCTATTTAGGCTTCTCATTTTAAGTTGTCTAAAATAAGTTGATAGAGGAAATGTGTAGTCTCAGCTTATCCAGGTATCAATTAACCCCATATTTTGGTTAAAGATGGAACTAATGTTAGATAACCCAATTCAGGTCAATCAACGCCCCCTAATAGTTTCACATACGAATGAACTAGTAGTATACGATTTATAACTTAGAGTTGTTTCCTCAATACATTTTAAAGACTACCAAAAAGAATTAAACTTTTTGGGTACAAAACGTAAATGATGCTTTTGTAGTTTTATGGTACTTTTGAAAATGCTTCTTTAGAAAGAATTTCTCCTCAAAAGTGCTTCCAATATCACCGCTTCTAGCGCTTCTATTAGAAGCACTTAAAATTTTTAACAAAAAATAATGCAACTGCTTTCTTGAAACACACTAGTACACTTCCTTGAAAAGCACTTAAACACGTGCTTCTTCAACTTTTTTGAAATACAAAAACACTTTTAACTTTTTTTTGTCAAGCATAATCAGAAACATTTTAGCGACTTGAAAGTGCTTTTAGTTATTATAAAAGCAATTCCAACATTGTTGTGTTATATAGTTCCAATATCATAATATTATGATATAGTTGAAAACAACAGCCTTAAAAGTGCTAATTTTAAACACAAGACTATTCTAAACAACTCTACTATACAAAGAGCTGAGTGAGAACTTGCATTGTTGCACTAGTCAACTGACTTAACCCACATTTCACTACCACAAAAAAACACTTTGCGCGACGAAATAAGTTTGTTGCGCAAAATACAATTTCGTCGCGCAAAACCTTGCACGATGAAATTTTGGTCACGCATTGTTTGTCGCGCAAAGTTTATGAAGATAGGGTATGTGCGACAAAAATTAATCTTCATCGCGCAAAGATTTTTTTTTTAATTTTTTTTAACTAAATTAAATTAATTTAATATTTTGCACAACGAAACACTACGTAGTGCAAAGATTTCTTTTTTTTAATTAAATTAAATTAATATAATATTTTGCACAATGAAATATTCGTTGCGCAAAGATTTTTATTTTTTTAATTAAAATAAATTAATTTAATATTTTGCGCGATGAAATATTTTGTCGCGCAAAGTTTTTGACTTTTTGTTCTATTATTTCTCTTATATTAATTGTTTGCGCAACGAAATATTTGATAGTGCAAGATTTTTTGAATTTTTACTTTTTAAATTTAATTTAATTGTATGATTTTATTTTTTTTAATTACTTTAATTTAAATTGACATATTCAAAATAAAATTACATATGAAAAATAGTGATCAAGTTATCCAATATATATAATGTATTCAAAATGTACACATAAATTAACAAAGTACAATAATAAAATCTTAATACAAGTCTATTGTGGTGATAGTGGCTGGTGATATGGTTTGATAGCGTCCTAATCCTCAACTTTAGCCGTCAAAGTCTCGACGATTCCCTACAAAAAAAAAAAACAATTATGGTCAAATAACCAAAACATAACATAAAATAAAACCATAAAATTGGCATAATCTCCCCGAAAATTGGTATACCCAAAATCCGACCCCAAACTCCACCCCTCACTCTATACTCAAATCCAAAGCCTGCACCATACTTAAAATTAACTCCAAAAAAAATATTAATGAAAAGAAAAAGATTAAAATTTGGGGAGAATATACCTTTTGGCAAGATTGAGAGTAAGTGAGAATGAGAGGGATGGCTGAGTGTGAGAGAATTAGAGGAGACAGTGAGTGAGAGATGAGAGAGTGAGTGAGAGTGAGAGATAGTGAAGAGAGAGAGGGTCGGATTTGGGGAGAGGGAAAGAAAGATGAGAGGTAAGAGTAGAGAAAGACATTGAGAAAATTGTGGAGTTATATATTTTGGTTTTAAAAATGTGACTTTACTCCCTTTAAATTCAATTTTTTTTTTTTTTTTACATAAGACCCACAATATTCTATTTTTCTAACAAAAACCCGATCCAAACTACAATAATAAATTTAAAGCTACTTAATAAATATATATATATATATATATATATATATATACCATTCAATTTCTTAAGTGTTATACGTACAAAATAAATAAATAAATTTAAAGCTACTTAATAAATATATATATCATTCAACCATCCAACCGTCAAACATGTTTGTACATACTTTGAGATCGTATACACCAAAGATCGCAAAAAATAAACATTCAAAGATCAAGTAACGGGACAAAAAATTTCGATGGTTATAAACGAAAAATCAAGATTTAACGGTTATTTTAACTTCAATTTTGATGATTTTTTACAGCTACACTCCTTGACCCTATATGAATACAATGAAAGAATTCGATCTTCAATTTAAAATATTTACACTAGTTATGGTATACTTAATGAAAGTATAAATAAACTCTAAGTATTAGTGAATCTATTGTTTTAATGAGATACGCATTCTACGAAACTAGTTTCAACGAGGACGTTGGGCCAGGGATGTGGTGGGGGCCCGGGTCGGGATGTGACAATTTGGTATCAGAGCTAATCCCTGGCCGAGTGTGCCAACGAGGACGTTGGGCCCCTAAGGAGGGTGGATTGTTACATCCCACATCACTAAGGGGAGTGGATCTTGTAAGCCTTATATGTATATTCTCATCTCTACCTAGCACGAGACCTTTTGCGAGCTCACTGGCTTCGGGTTCCATTAGAACTCCGAAGTAAAGCGAGTTCGCGCGAGAGCAATACCAAGATGGGTGACCCGCTGGGAAGTTCTCGTGTGAGTTCCCAAAAACAAAACTGTGAGGGCATGGTCTGGGCCTAAAACGGATAATATCGTACTACGGTGGAGTCGGGCTCGGGATGTGTGGGGGCCCGGGCTGGGATGTGACATATAATATAAAATTAAATAAAAAACGAAAAATAAATTGGTTTAGGCGATGAAATATTTGGATTACATCACGCAAAGATTTCAAAAATAATTTTTTTTATTTTATTTATTTTTGTAAAGACTTTGCGCTACAAAGCTTAAAGTTTCGTCGTGCAAAGTGACTTTGCATGACGATGAGTGTTTTGCCACGCAAAATTTCATCGCACAAGACTTTGCGTGACGAAGTTTAATATTTCATCGAGCAAATTCACTTTGCATGACGATATGTGTTTCGTCGCGCAAGGGGTTTTTTTGACTAGTGAATTTGTGTGTAAATTGAGTAATTAACCGTACACTATCATTTTATTTAATAAAAAATCAAATTTTGTTTAAAAGGTCATTCTAAAGAAGGGGAGAAATTAGGTTCTCATCCCTATTTTTTCTACTCC